GTTGAGCAATACTACTGATAGATGCCCACAACAATGCATGGAAATGTATGAGACAAGTAGTTGCTCTATCCAGTGTCATATACGCACTTTGTCGAGCAGTTAGAGGGCAACATTCAAGGAGATCTAAGAATTTTAAAGGACATCACCCAACTCTACATGGAGGATTTCTGAGCTTGGAGGGGGGGGGGTGTCAGCTGACACATCTTGTTACTTAGTGGATCCGACCCTAGAAGAGAGATTGAACTCGAGAATTCCAGGATCCAGTAATTAAAGAGAATGACCTTAACCACCAAAATAATTCATGATGTGCAATTTTATTGTTTGATAAAGTGTTGTAGAAGCTAGGAATATTGTTTGTCACATAGTTATGTAATTCAAAGTGGTGGCCAATAAAAAAATGATGGCACTTGAAGATGATGGAAGAAGCAGTTGCTGGTTGGGCCTCATTTGACTACGGCTTAAAGTAAGTGTCTCTTCTTGTTTGGTACTACTACTCCTTGGCTTTTTGTTGTTTAGGGTATCAAGTAGGCCTAGTTTTTGCTTTGGGTATACTATCTACCAGATTCGAACTTAAAATTATTATTTTTCAATATTGAGAAAGAAAGAATGACTAAACTAATAATTAGTTGGTATGTCGACACATTTCTTAATCTATATTATTCGAACTATAAGTTTTATTACTTCTTGTTTTCATTATCTACATTCAAAATTTTCCGTTATAAAAAAAGAAAAGTTCTTTTGAATTTTTTGATATTCAAATATTTATTTACATGACTTAAATTACATGTGAGACAAGAGCAGATAAAATATAACTCAAACCGTTATTAAATATCTATGTTATTTTTTATCCCGTAAAATAAGTAGATTTTTTTTTAAAATTTTTTATGAAGCACCTAACTCTTGGTGTGCCGCTAACATTACAATCGAAATATATTATTCTGCAGTCTCCACTTTGGTGTGCCCACGAATACCAATTTCAATACTAAATTATTGTTTACCAATAATCATTGTGTGGTTTAGTCGAAACGCTCACCCCGATATCTTGTATATCAAAAAGATAAATACTCTTGGTATAATTTCCATATAGGATTAAAGAGGGAGACCAAAAGGCTAATCCCAACAACAAAAAAGGATGGTTATAATCTTACATAGGTTGCTTTTTCTCCAATACTTTTATGGCTTGCTTGTCTCTTATCCTTCTTTATTTGAAGTATAATATCTCGTAAACCCCACATATCCATGCACCCTCCTCAATCAACTCCTACTCCCAACACATGCACTTTACTATTTTGCCCTAATTAACAACTTACCTTTCCATCCTTCATAAATTGCCTCCACCTAAACCCTCCATTATAAAAATGTTAGGAAAATAAAACAAGGGACACTTTGGATGCGGTCCCTAGTTATGAACAGTCTTTGACTGAAACCTTGTTGGTTTTCAATTTTTGATCCAAGAACCTGAAATTAATTGATGATTTATTTCTATGTACGTTACTATATTTTTTAAATTAAAAATTAAAATTTATAGTTGTTTATAGTAATGAGATTTTAAATAAAAAACCATAATTTGTGGGATTAAAAATATTAAAATATAAATATACTATTGTGTGTGTGTGTGTAAACATGGGTACATTCATAAAAAATAACCAAAAAATTATTGTATCAAAACATGGGTACATTCTTCAAAATGGGTACATTTAGCAAAAATAAAAATGGGTACAAATAAATAAAAAAATATGGGTACAATACAAATAAAACTTTAAAAAAATATGGGCACAAAAAGAAATTAATATATGGGTACAAATTAAAACTGAAAGGAAAATTGGTACAAATTAAAAAAGGGTTGCAAATTAAAAATGGGTACAAACTAAAAATAAAAATATATGATAAAAAATCTAGCCATAAATATAAATATACTAATTGTAACATTTTTAATATTAAATGAATATATTTAGAAATAAAAAATATTTTATTATTGAAATAATTAATGATATTATTAATACAAAGGACCTTGATCAAAAATTGAAAAGTAATAAGGTTTTAATCAATAGAGTAGTAAAAATAAGGATGAAAACCTAATTACTCCATAAAACAAATTAGAGTTGGCTAGAGTAGTTTGTTCCTATATGTACACTCATGTTCGAATCTGAAAAAAGTTGAGGTTTCACCATAAAATCAACTGACATTATGAGAAGTAGCCCAACTTCTTATAAGTCTATGCATAGTTTGTCTTTTCATCGATGTAGACTCTTTAACGTTCACATCCTCACACGTCCTCTCACATGTTGTCAATTTTCAAGCCAAATACATGAACAACACGATTTGGGTGACGTGGAGTACGTGTGACCTTTTAGCTTCACACGTAGAGTAACTTGCTCCGATACCATGAAGAAAGTTAAGGTTCCACTATAAAACTAATCAGTAATATGGGGAGCACTCCAACCTCTTATAAACCCTTGCAAGGTTTTTCTTTCACCTATATGAGACTCTTTAACCTTCACACTCTCACAAGATTATCTCTCTGTAATTTAATATAAACCAAAAATATTGAAAACATATTTAAAATCTGAATTGGGCCTGGTAAGGCCCAATAAGTACAAGAGCAACAAACAAGAGGACAATTGCGAACAAGTACACGTGAAGACCACGTCCTTGCATGTCGCTATAAAGTAAGAATTGACAAATCTTACTCATAACTTTAGCTATCCATAATCCCACACGCACAGCCAAGCACGTGGGATGCACTCTCGCGACTCTTGAGGTTAGTAATAATAAAAATAATAAATTTCTCAAATTGTAACATTTTTACGTTTCTTTGTGGCATTGCACATGTTTGATTACTACTATTTAATAATCTCTTTATCAAATTGACGTATATAATATTCTTCTGTGTCAAAATCTTACGTAGCGTTACTAATTTTTTCAATGTTCATTTGATTTAGTAGCAGAATTAACCAAAAAACTTGGAATCAACTAAGAATTTGGGGCCCCTGTGGTTGGTTAACTATACATTTCAGCCATTTTTGTTTATGTCGATGTCCATTAATTTGTGTTTTTGGTTCCGTCCGTATTTACTCATTTGTTTTGCTTGTTTCGCTCTCATTACCCAACCAATAACTTATTGAGAGAGACAACTAATCACATATTTTATTACACATTGATGATAGTTCTTAAAACATCACATGACAAAGACTGTTCATATATTCACCGAAAAAGAGTGTACAACATCTCTACAACACATTTCAAGACATTGCTTCAAAACAATGAGAGATTTTTCAATGTGTTCGGAATACGAGATGGTACACCACATATCATTATACAATTGGAGGGACATTTGAAAAAAAAAAAACTTTCCTTCACTTGTATAATAACATATGGTGTACCCTTTGTGTTCAGGGTACACTTAAAATAAGGAGGATTCTTTGCCCTCCTAATCTCTCTCTCATTCCATCATCTACTACTTGAACGGTTACAATTAAAACACGTCAACATCTTATATTAATTATTTAATATAAATAATAAAACAAAAAAATAAAGTGTGACAGAAGAGGAGAGAAAGAAATGTGAATAAGAGGGAACATAATTCTATTTCCACTCAAATAGCTTTTCGAAACAAGAAACAAAAAAGAAAAAGAAATTAAAAGTCCTCAAAACTAGCGCGTGTAACTCGCGCGCTGAGATTTGCTCAAGAAGTTTGCCTAAAACACTTTGTCTAACCACTCTTTGCAGAATCAAACCCCTACCAGTGCTTCCACAGTACCAACTCGTACAGATTTTCAAATTCTTATCAGGATCTTCTCCTAGAATTTGGATTCTCTCTTAGGCAACTAGTCGGGATTCTTCTAATCAGTGTTCGTAAATTGTTAGATTTTTATTCAACGATTACAATTATTATAATTTATAAATGGCCTTCTGTTTGTAGCCTGTTTGTAGCCATTGGATAAAAATTCAACGATCTACGAACACTGGTCAGAGGATCCCGACCAGTTGTCTCGGGGAGGATCCAATCTCTTCTCCTGAGCTTAGGAAGCTGAGTCTACTGAGTAAACCCATTGGATCGTTGAAATTTGATCCAACGGTTACAATTATTATAATTTTTAGAAAAATCCTCTATTTGTAGTTGTTGAATCAAATTTTAACGGTCTAATAGATTTGCTAAGGAAGCTCAGACTCCTAAGCTCAAGAGAGGATCTGATCCTTCAAATTCTAAACAGAGAGAGAAAGCCAGAAGATTTCTAGAGAGAGAAAGCCTGAAGATTTCTAGAGAGAGAGAGAGTAATGAATTGGCAACACTAATCAGTGATTCAGTGATCAGGACAAAAGGTATTCCGTCTTGGCTGCGGTCAAAGGTCATTCTTGTACTGCGACTGCGCTGTATAAGTGTACATATTTGTCGTCATTTAGTATTTAATAGTATTTATTTTTATTTATAATTAAAAAACTTTATATTCGATTCTAACTAAAAACGAATTTAAATCATATTATTGTTAGTTCATTATAAGGTTAAACTTACTATTCTTTCCGTTAACATAAATAATATTGTTTCTTAAAAAAAAAGAACGTACATATTTGAACGTTGTAATAATTTATGTTTTAGAAAAACTTCAAGACAAGAAAAGTTAAAAAACGTCAATTCATATCCTGTCCATAAATGATTAAATGATTTTTAATTAAATCCCACATTTTGCGAAAGTAATCTTTGAAAAATATACTCTTTCGACCACGACACATCTTGAATGAGCTTGTCTGTATGAGATTGCTTTTAAAATGACTAAATATTTTCAATGTTCAGATATTCTTCTAACAACATTTGAACAAAAAAATATTAAAACTCAAATCACAAAAGTATTTTTTGAAAAAGCGCATGCCAACTGCTTGAGGCGCTTTTCCTAAAAAACCTCTTAAAATTTGATAATAATTTCAACGCGTTTCTTGAAAAGTAATTTCAACAAAACACTTATGAACAGAAATGCATCCAACAAAACGAACCTGGAAGCATTATTTTTTGAAATACTGTGTGCGATGCATGTAATTATTGTTTCTTAAAAACCAATTAACGTGAGACATAATCGTGCTTGCACTTCACAAAAGCCGGTGGAGGGGCTCTTCCCCCAAAAACTCTTCTTTAAAATAACATGCAAAAATTAGGGAGCAAAAATAAAGCTTTATTCTTTTCCTTCTTTTATTTTTCCGTTTTTATGCCTTAATTTCCATGAAAGTGGAGGTTTTAAAATCCCAGCTCCGAAAGCTTTCCGAACACATATCACCGAAAGAAAATTTGCAAATTTGCCTCTTCCCATAAACTCTGAGGAAAATTCCCAATTGGGTTTCAGTTTTTGGGGCTTCTCTCTCTCTGTATCTCATGTGAGCATGTCAGCTAAAGCAAAGTTATAGAGAGAGAAAGCATGAGTGAGGAGAGAGAGTAGAGAGAGAGATGCTTTTTTTTTTTTTTCCCTTTCTGTTCTGTAATCTTTTCAAAAACTGGCCTTTCCAGCAAAACCCAGTTGCTATATATCCCTCTTTTTGCTTCACCTTCATTAGACTACACAAGCAAGCAGCTGTCAACGTCTTTGAGGTATATATATTTGTGACATTTCTCTCTCTCTCTCTCTCCCTCTCCTCCTCTCTCTGAGTGCAGCAGCTTTACTGTTTTTTCTTCATATTCTCTCTGTTTCTTTGAGGTAAAGATTTAATTTTTATTTATAAATACTGTTTTTTGTCTTCTGCTTCTCTCTCTATCTCTCTCTCTCTCTCTGTGATTTATTTTTACAGCCCCACATTTTTAAAGCTGGTTTCTTTAAATTTAGATTAATGGCTTTTGTGCAGTAATGCATCAGGAGCCAGCAACGCAGATCAAATCAAGGCTGGATTATCAGATTTTGAAGCATTTCTGAGTTGGGTTTTTGCCCCTGGTCAATTTGAGGTAACTTCTCTGCTTCTTCTTGTTGTTTTGCTTATCTTTTTGCTCTTGGTTTTGGTCATTTCTGAGTGGTTCTGTGGTTTTTGTGTTGTTTTTTGTGTAAGGTCACCAATCGTTTGTTAAAATTCCCCAAAGAAAGTTTGGAAAAGTGAATTGAGGTACTTGGTTTGAAAAATGAGAGATTTCCCATCTTGTTTTGGTGAAAATGGGGTTCAGGTTGCTGATTCTTCATCATCAAATAGTAGTAGGGGTGCCCAGAATTTGGTTACTTGTATGTATCAATGCCGGTTACGAGGCCGGTCTTGCTTGATTACTGTGACTTGGAGTAGGAATTTGATGGGTCAAGGCCTTAGTGTTGGGATAGATGATTCATCAAACCAGTGTCTTTGCAAGGTTGATATTAAACCCTGGTTGTTCTCCAAGAGAAGAGGGTCCAAGAGTTTAGAAGCTTATTCGAGTAAAATAGATATATATTGGGACCTTTCATTGGCAAAATTCGGATCCGGGCCTGAACCTTTGGAGGGATATTATGTGGGGGTTGTGGTGGACAGGCAAATGCTTCTCCTTCTTGGAGACATGAGGAAAGAAGCTTTCAAAAAGACTAGTGCCAGCCCTGTGCCTTCGAGTGCTGTTTGCGTTGCTAAGAGAGAGCATATTTTTGGTAAGAGGGGATTCACCACAAAGGCTCAGTTTTGCAATAATGGTCAAGTTCATGACCTTGTAATTGAATGTGACACTGTCGGGGTCAATGATCCATGCCTCCTGGTGCGCGTTGACAGCAAGCCTGTGATGCAGGTGAAGAGACTTCGGTGGAAGTTCCGAGGGAACCATACCATCTTGGTTGATGGGCTTGCAGTTGAAGTTTTCTGGGATGTTCACAATTGGCTGTTTGGTACATCACCTGGAAATGCTGTTTTTATGTTCAAGACATGCCTCTCAGCAGAAGTTGTGGGCTAGTCAACCAGCCTCTGATCCGAGCGCGTTGCAGTGGTCATTTTCGCAGAGATTCTCGGATAGTAAGTCACAAGGTCTAGGATTCTCGCTGATTCTGTATGCTTGGAAGAATGAATAGAGGAAGTCAGATGTTCTCCATTGATTGCTAACAGAAAAACCTCTAGTGAGTGATGTTTTTCTCAGCTATGTGATTGAATTACTGCAAAAAAGATGATTATATATGATCATTTGTTATATAATCATTTGTTTTTTCTCAACCTATTTTTCTCCTTTTGGTTTCTCTTCATGAGTAGCTTGAGCAATCAAAATAGATCAGAGACAGTTTTGTTTTTACTGGTTGTATATCCTCCATACACCGTTAATTTCACTCTTAATTTTTTTTCTTTTGCCTACTGAGAATTCTATGTTAAAATCATCGATGTGCAAATATTGAAATTAATGCACTTTTTCTCAGCAAATCATTGAATTTCTTATTTGATCATGTTTGCGCTAGCTATAGTGATGTTCTTTCCAAAGTCGGAATGAATGCTAATGGACTTGGCGACATCCTATTCTTGTTAAGTAGCGATAGATCTGATTTTATTTTTGTAACATTTCTTTGAATTGGCCTAACTCCACTTGTATTTGGGATCAGTTTATACTGCTGATTGTGTTGTGGGTATTGCTGCGTGAATACTTTGACAAGTATGAAACGGTTCAGACCCTACATTTAATGTATTCTTGCATTTAGATGTTTGACCATCACGGAAATATAGCTAGACTACAAGAGATTGAAAGCATGAAGTACTATGGTACTTGAATGATGTTTGTATAACTAGGTAACTGATGCTACTGAGCTTTTGAGTGAGATTAAGCAATTGACGGAGGTCTACAGCTTTTGCTTGTTGAAGTCCAGATTATAGCTTTTGGGTGCTTGTGCTAGGAATGCTTTTCTCTTGGGACGGTTCAAGGAGCCGAGATCTCACATTCACTATACAAGTCAACATAGAAGTAATGGGAATCTTTGGTCTGGAAAATTTTACAGTTGCTAGCAATCAAGTGGAAGAAAGGATATAGAAGGTTAAATTGTACATAACTGAAGGAATGTGAAAGGGTAGGATTAAGCACCCTGCACAACTTCCTGGCTTTGCCTGTTTCGGATGAAGGGTCAAATGATAAAGTATGTGCTAGGCATGAATTTGTGGATAAAAAAGGGACAATTCGCAACTGCTCTTTTTCTTGAAGCCTCGAAAAGCATCTTCTATAGCCCGAGGCCGGATACAGCACATTATCTTGTATCAAGGAGCATTGTGATGAAGAGAGTTCAACGATTATTTTGTGCTTGATTTCTCTGTAGATGCACCTGTTTACCCTATGGAGTCTGATCATCTTGCAACACATTGTGCTTCCTTTGCATCAGGGCTCAAAATTCAAGTGTATATGCTCTAGCTGAAACCCGGAATAATCACATCTTCCGCCTTCTTTACCCTCTCCCCTCAGCCGAGCTACTTCGATACCTTCCACTACGTGTTTCCACTGTGAGTAATTCTTGCAGAAGTTCAAGCCTGTCTTAGTTGTAGTTTGCTGTTAACTGGAAATTTAAAGATGGTTGGTTGAGATTTGCATAGCATTCAAAGAGTGAGTTATTTTTGCTGAAGAAAGCTGCCAAACTTCATGCTTATTGAACCTTAGACTTCATATTTTCTCTGTTGATTTATGGATGCATGTCACTGGTTGAATGTTGCAGCTACGATTTTGTTGTAACAGGCACAAACCCGGCCACAAATTTGGCGTAGGCTGAGCCTTCGCGGTGGTAGGGTTAGCGCCGGAATTAGGCTAGGGTTAAGCTATTTACGGGAGAAATTTTCAAATATCCGGTGAGTTCTTTAGCGCATCCGAGCCAGGCCAGGTTCAGTTCCTTCAGACATTACCTTGTGACAACCCCTACTTGGTCAAAATATTCAAAACATGTGTTGGTTACAGATTTAAATGGATGCAATAGCCCTAATTGATTGTTTGTCTTGAAATTATTTTAAAAGCAGTTTTTTTTTTTTTTTTTTTTTTAAAGCTTGATTCAAAATTGTGTTCGGTAGATGAAAAAAAGAAGTGTTTTTTGTCAAAATCATGGATCCAAAACAGTAGAAAGCAGAACCAGTTATACCTCTGCTTTTGAAAACAACATTTTTTATTTTTTCACAGCACAACAACCCCAAACTAGCCTGAGGGTTTCCTTGTACTGATTTCTATAGGAGCTTTTGTGTGCATTAGGTGAAGTTTAAATATTTGGTATATGTACCTAACTAGGTACAAAGAAATTAGAGTTTGTTGGTAATGCGTTGGTCCACTTATACTTGCTATTGCAATTAAGCGTTGTGCATTGAATTTGAATACTTGAATGTTTATATCAACCCATATTTTATTTTAAACTACGGAGACAGAGATTTGAACTTTAAGGGCACCTTTTGGACCTAATTTGGCTACGCGGCACATCTATATAACTTCAAGTGTTTCTATCAATCTTGTTACTTAATACTACGGTCTTGTGGTATTTTTCTTCACTTGTAAGTAAAAGGTCTTAGGTTTGATTCTCGTCAAAGGTAAATTTTAACCACATTATTATGGCAAATCCATTGTGAGGCTTGGACAACTCTCCCACTACATTAGTGTGGATAATGTTGTTTGTTAAAAAAAAAAAAAAAAACTGTTTGTTTGATAGAAATAACTTAAAGTGTTAAAGTTGTATGGATGCAATCTTCGTTGTGCATCTTGATCAAGTGGATTGTTTTCTTTGTAGATTTTGATGTGATTGTAAATGTGTTTACCGGTATTAAGTTTTTTTTTTATCTTTCTAATAAAAGTACTTATGAGCTTAAATGCTTTTGTAAAGGTAGGGCCCGAAACCGACTTTAAGGCTGGTTCAATTTGGGCTTGTCAGCTCTAAGCTTTTTCTGAATTTTAAAAGCACTTCTAAATTCTTCTCATAAAATCGTTCCTGCTTCTAACAAAAATTCTTATAAAATACTTCTTATTAAAGCAAACTCAAAGCCGACCTTAAAGATTAGTTCGATTTGGGGCTCCTTACCCCAATCCGAAAAATCGAGTGTGAGCGTGAACTCGGTTTCGGTCGAAAATCTCTTACACAATCAACTTACATGAAACTAAAAAAATAACATAATATTTCGAAGCACTATAGAATTTTCTTGAACTCATAATCCTTAATTAAGATAGAAAAAGATATGCAAAATAAGAAAACAAAAGGGGAAAGAGATGATTGTTCTTCTGCCAAACTGCCAGAGTATTCTGTTGCAGGATTATGAAATGAAAGCTACAGCTTGCGGAATATTTGCCACCCAATTTTCACACCCATTCAATTATTGATAATGTCCCAAATATATAGCTTAAAAAAATTCGAAAATATATATAATCTCGAAAAACGCATGTGCATTTCCATGGACTGACAAATGAATTGAAGAAGATTAATCGTAAAAAAATAACAAATGGGTGTGTGAATTGCTTAACTTGACTTCAATTCAATTGAGTAATAATACAAAACTTCACTAATCACTACCAATTAACTACAATAACATCGTACATTAAGTGGAGTTGGCTGTATGAATTTTAGAATGTCATTACGCTCGGTTTTGCATCAAGTCTTCCGTTAGCTCTAAGTACTCTATATCTTCTCTTATAATCTCTTTCAAATTCTTCATAGGTATTCCTCTACCTTCTTTGCCCTGAGTCTCCCTCTCATAGTCGCATCTTCTAAACAGAGCGTCAACTATTAGCGATTTAATGTCTAACAATTTAACTCCTTGACTTGACTCTACTTTTATCGATTCCACTCTCTCCTAAGCAACTAACTATTTAACCATTAATGCTATCTTTTGTTGAAAAAAAAAACTAAGGAAAACTAATGAAAAAGGCTTGAAAACTTTGAGTTTTAACGATAAGGACAAAATAAAGGGTAAAGTGAATAGTACCATATTTGACTTTTTAGTGTAAAAATGTGATTTTTCGTTAAAATAAACAGTACCGTCAGCTTTTCGTTAAAACTCTAAAAAAACTATTGTGGGCCGTGGTCATATTCTAATTGGGCATTTTTTTTGGGCCCTATACTCTAATTTGCAAATGGGAGTTTAACGACATGCCGTTTATCTGAACCGAAACCTCACCAACACAAGGTCAAGGGCGGTCCCCACACCCACAGGGACAAAAGGGAAAAACAAAAAATCGAAAATCCCCTCCCTTTCCCGCCTTGCCGCCCCCCAGTCCTCCCCCTTCTATTATTTTCACTCTGTTTCTCTCTCTAAAATTCTAGAGAGAGAGAGAGAGAGAGAGATTTGATGCGGTGGAGCTTCATCTCCGACCATGGACACTCCGCTGAAGAATCAGATCACCCCCACCACTCCTCTTCCTGCTAAATACGAGGTCTTTTTTTTTTCTTCTTTTTTTTTTCTTTCAATTTTTCAACTTTTTTTTTTTATGAATTAATTTTTTTTTCTGGGTCAAATGGGTTCTGCTGGGTTTAGTTTTTTCATGTTCTTCAATTTATTTGCAAATTTAAAATTTTAAAATCTGGATTCGATTCAAGTTATAATTTTTGTCACTTCCCACTGTTCATTTTCCACTTTGCAGAAATGGGTTTGCTGTAATTTTTTAGAATTTTTTTATGATTCCTGCAAAACCCTTCGATTCCTTCTCAATCTCTGGAGATCGGTTGCGTTTTCTAGGCCGTAGAGTGCGAAATGATTCCTGTTTGATGATTTCTGCAGGATTCCCCTGTGTTCAACTACATTAGCAATCTTTCCCCGATTGAGCCGGTGAAGTCCGTAGGAAATGATCATCACACTTTCAACTCCCTAGCTTTTGCATCTCTTCCTTCTATTTTCGCTTCGCCGCAGAATCTTTCCGTCCCGGAAACACGGTTCTTACTTAGAAGGTAAGGTTTTAACCATATCTTTTCTTCCTGCTTTGCTGATTTTACTACTTTTATTTGTACTAGTGTTTGATGTTTTGTTCATGTTGTCAGGCATCACTTCTCTGATTCACCGAAACCCGAGTCCTTCCAGAGTGGAAACCGAAACAGTAAAAGTGATGGAGTTCCGGTTTCCGTTGAGCAAGCGTATTTAGGTACTGACCAACCGGAATGCTTTGCATCCGGAAGTTCTTCAGATGTAGAGGTGGCTAGTGCAGTACCAACTGAGAATTTGGAACCACCGGTTGAGTTTCTAAATACCTTGAAGTATAGTTCTGGTAGCCCACATAGAAATGATGTACATCATTCGAAAGGAAGGCACTCGTTTTTCGAGAGGGAAACACATTTGCGCAGAATTCGAAGAGTTGAGCAGAAGAAAGATGCAGCCGCATGCGATTTGGTGAGGTTGATTTCTGATGATCAGTTAAAATTTGATTTGACAACCATTAAAGAGAATTGTGCGGGGCACGATCCTAAACCAGTAGATCCTGGAGAAATCTCTTTTATGTCAAACATCCTACGAGACAATGATATTGAAGTAGAGGAATCTGCTGGTCCTATTGATTCTTGTGAAGAATGCGAATTGGGAAAGGTCAGTAATCAACCAGAAGGTGTTCGGGGAACTAAGGAAACAGATCAAGCTCCGGCGATACTTTCTGAAACTTTACTGGATAAGTTAAATGTTAATGATCCAAGTGGTATTGTGGATGAAAAGTCGCTGAATTGTATACATTCTAGCTGCAAGGTAATATACTTGTTTGGACAATATTTTTTGTTGAACTGAGTTTCATACTTTTTTGATTTGATAGTAATGCAACAATTTTGTTTGAACTTGTGCAGCCTAGTTCTCAGTCATATGCAATACGCAGGCGCTGTTTGGATTTTGAAAGGCCAGCAGCTCACAAAAGGAAATCAATAGATGCTAGTGGCGGTTCTTTAGCCTTACCGCAGTCCAGTTGTGAAGTCGCCTCTGTCGAAAAGCAGTTGGTTCAAACTATAAAAGGTTGTGATTATTCATCTTCAAGGTTACCTGGCATTGGTTTGCACTTGAATGCTCTTGCAACTTCTAGTGAAAGTAACTTAAGTAAGGTTGTCAAGCATGATATTTCTGAGAGTCGAGCGATAAATTTTCCAAACTCCAAGATATCTAGTACTTCTTTGACTCCCAGTGAGGTTTCTTGTGATGAATCATGTAAAAATAAAGCTCAGGTTGCAGAAACTCCTCCCCAAGTATGTGCAGCAGTTGGTCAAGAACATGACTGTAATAGTCCTGAGAAGAAAAGGCATGCGCCATAATTTTAACGACTATTTGTATTCTTTACTTCTATCCATCTGAATGCTGTTGTTTTAACGTTTGATAACTTGCAGGCTTAAGTTGCAGCCTGTTGGAGAAAGTTTGGCTTGCAAGCGCTGTAATTGTAAGAGATCAAAATGTTTGAAACTGTGAGTTTGTGCATACCTTATCTGTCAAACTATGAGTTTATGTATGCATTATATCGACTGATTAGCAGTTTAGCGTTTGGTAATCAATCATAATTTTCAATTTTCGCTGTTTGCCTTGTACACTATGGATTGGTTTTTTTCCATTCATCTCTGACTTTGACCTCCCATGTTCTCCATGCAGTTATTGCGACTGTTTTGCTGCTGGTCTCTACTGTATTGAGCCTTGTTCATGTCAAGAATGCTTAAACAAGCCTAATTATGAGAATATTGTTTTAGAGAATCGCAAACTGATTGAATCTCGCAACCCACTTGCATTTGCTCCCAAAGTAACTGCAAGCGCCGTTGCTATTCCACAGTACGGGGTTAGAAATTATAACTGAGATCATCTGTTGCATTTGCATTGTCCCATAAATTATAATCATGTAGACTCACAATGTTGCCTATGCAGAAGGAAACTAACTCGACTCCGTCTTCAGCTAGGCATAAAAGGGGATGCAATTGTAGAAAATCAAGTTGCTTGAAAAAGTACTGTGAATGCTTCCAGGTACCGAGTTTTGGCCTCTTTGTATGAATGTAACGCTCTTGTAAGTCTATTAAAGTTTTTGGTATATATCTACCAACTGATATGGTCCATGGACGCTTCGATTTTCTTACCAAGGGTGGTGCTGGATGCGGCATCCTCTGCAGATGTGTAGGGTGTAAAAACACTTTTGGCCGGAAAGATGGTGAGCAAATAGTCATACGAAATTTAACAAATCATTTTATGTTCTAATAGGATGCACGATTTGTGTACCTTTAATTTATTCCTTTTCTTTATTCAATAGAATCTAAACAAGCTGAAGTTGGAGGAGATGAATCAGTAGTTCCGAATAAGGATGCACTGAATGTCAGTTTACCGACAGTAAGGGATCAAGATCTCCCAATGGCGCGTTCTGGGATTTTCAGGTTTTCAACTCACTTATTTGTTAGACTGTATGTAACTTCTTTGAGATATGTTGTAAAATGTTTGAAGGTTATTTTGTTTGGCAGACCTCCAGACCAATTGACATCCTCTTCTAACGGGAAACAGAAAATATTTTCTCTTCATTCTGTGGTATCATCTCCTCAGCTCGAGAAGCATCTTCAGGCAATTCCTGAAGACGGAACTCTTGAGACGTTGGCTAGCAGTGGCTCACATAAGTCATCCTCTCCAAACTCAAAGAGGGTATCGCCTCCTCACAGCGGCAGCGAGTTTGGGTCAGCTTGGAGGGGCGGCAGGAAGTTAGTTCTGAGATCCATTCCACCATTCCCGACTCTGGAATCACCACGAAAGCAGTGACTTGCGCCACAATAGAAGTCTAAGAAACTGAAGTCGAAAGAGAAAAATCAGGAAATCGGAAAAAGGGTGCAGAAAAAAAGAAGAGAGACTTGTTCTTGCTCTCCCAATTCAGGAAGATGGAAATCGCCGGTTGGGCTGGTCCAAGTCCAACCAAGAAAAACATGGGACTTTTTTCATGAATTATGACTGGTAGTTTACGGACAGCAGCAAGGGATCAAGATCTCCCATTTATTTGGCTTTCCCAACTCTCGAATCAACACGAAAGCAGTGACTTAGGCCGCAAGCTTCAGTCGCACTCGCACTCCAGTTCAACGCATGTTCTTTGCTGCATTATTGTGATACAAAGATGTGGCTTCGTGCAATCTTTATGTTACCAATACTGAATCACTGATGGCGTTAACCGTTACTCCTAAAACGATGTCGAGTTTTGTAATACGTTTGTGTTTCTCTTAAACGATGGCGGTAACTATTGAACCTCACGGTCCTGTATCACTTCCATCTTTGAGAACTCTGCCCCTCAAATCCGTCTGCATTAACAGATATTCGTCTTTCTTATCCTTGATTTTCCCTTCGGGCGGATGCCTTTCCCCCGCACTGGAGAATTTGTCAATAGTTTCATGTTCTGCTGCTGCTGATACTGGCGATTTCTATGTCCTGAGGATGACTGCTGTGGGTCTCAGATCTTTGGAAGTTATCGATTGGCATTGCCATGCAATTACTGCTATCGCTAAAACTCTTGAATCCGTAACCATTGTTTCAGACTCCGCAAAATTTATGTCTCTGGATGCCCCAAAGTGCAATATATGAACGTCCGTGCTCGACGCCTTCCAAGTTTTAATGTATACAGGTTCAGCCAAAGTGTGAAGGAGGCCAGATTTGATGCCTCAAAGCGAATGATTTGTAGCTTTGACAACGAGGTTTGTGATCGGAGCACCTTCCTTTCCCGCATTACTGTCAAGCTAGATGCTTGACTAATGATCTTGAAAGGGGGCAGTTCAAGAGATTTGGGGTTTAGGGACACGGACCGAGCGGACGAGTTCTGGATGGCACTGGGAATGTACGCATACATGGACCTTCAACAGAGATTCTATCAAAACAAAAGCAAAACTTGCATGCATTTATGTATGCTGAATGTTTTTCTTTTGAAAATTATATGCATGCTGCTTATTGCTGTGAAGACGCCGCATGAATTTATCATCAATGTTTAGAAGGCCTAATCAGATAAATGGTCCGTGGTCATAAGGTATTCGGATGATAACCCCTGTGGTAAAAAAATTCTGATTTAAATCCCTGTGGTCTAAGTCTGTTAGGATTTAAACCCTGTGGTCTAAGTCTGTTAGGATTTATGCCCTTCTGTTAAATAATGCTGACGTGGCTACCACATATATGCCACGTGGCTGCCAAATGTCTGCCACGTGGCAAAAATAATATATATATATATATATATTTTTTTTAAAACCTGAATTTTTACCAAAAAAAAATATATATATATATATATATATATATCATGGGAGGGTGGGGTTTTTTTTTTTTTTTTTTTGTAAAAATTCATGTTTTTTTTAAAAAAATTAAAAATTAATATTTTTGCCACGTGGCAGACATTTGGCAGCCACGTGGCATATATGTGGCAGCCACGTCAGCATTATTTAACAGAAGGGCATAAATCCTAACAGACTTAGATCACAAGGGTTTAAATCCGAATTTTTTTATCACAGGGGCTATCATCCGAATACCTTATGACCACGGAGACCATTTATCCGATTAGGCCATGTTTAGAATACGCTGTTGTTTCAGTTTCATTATCTTCCCTTCCTCCAAGACAAAGGAGTCAAATTATATGCATGCTTATTGTTGAGAAATTTATTTGGATGTGCTTTTAAAATGACTAAAACCGCTTTGAGAGAAAATGTTTTTGGATTTCAAAGCACAAGTGCTTTCTGCAAGAAGCACTAATTATGTGTTTCTTCCAGGAAACATTTAAGTGTTTTTTTCCCGGATTTACTTGCATTTTTACTAAGGATTGGTTCTAAAAACATTTTCACCATAAACGTTTTCAGTCATTTTAAAAGCACATTCAAACGAGCTTATGTTTACTTATTGTTGTAAAGAATCTCAAGTTGCAGAGAGGTTCAAGTCGTAATTCAGTATCAAATTAATGCACACAAAACTCATAGTTTGCAAGCCAAGCTTTCTCCAACAGCAACCTCTATATAAGATTGTTGAACAGCAATTCGCACTGGAACTCGATCACGTTTGTTACTTTGGTTTCCTTCCACTCTGGATGGCCTCCGGTTTTGATGCCTCCGAGAAGCACTGCCTGACAACATGAACAAACCTTCTAATTAGGAATCTGGTTTTGGGGATGGAAAGATTCTGCAGCAAAGCAAAACTAAATAGATGGAGGAGATGCGAAAGGTAACAAGTTAAATGTGTGATCATTTCCTGCGTCAAATTTGTATTGAAAAATTATTGCTTTAGTGAATAATAATTATTCGAGTGCATCTCCATCCATAAATGAATTGTCTAGGTAATTTTTGTATTAAAAATTTATTTTAAAAAAAAATTAACAAAACGATATTTTATTTTTAATTTCGGATAAAAGTTTTAATCAATCTCATCAAGGCACGTATCATTATTCGAAATTATAATTTGTGTGGATAGATTTTCGATTGTATTTTTAACCAATCTCGTAGCGTCACGTGTTATGATCCTGTAAGAATTTTGTGAATAGATTTCTGATAGGATTTTTAACCAATCATGTCGCACCACATGTCACTATCCATTTAGAATATTTGTAGATAGATTTTCGATATAATTTTCAACCAATCACGTAGCGCCACGTGACATTATCTGCAACCTTATCCTTTTATTTTCCTCCATATAAACCCTACATCCAACCTAAAGCTCACACACCAAATACAAAGTTTTTCTCCAATATTTTGTTCAAGAGTTGCCTCGATATTTTGTTAAAAAATATCAATCAATTGGTCCCCTTCGTAGGATGAAAAAGCAAACGGGTGGATCTGATTTCTACGAAGCATCAGATCCACTAGTTACTTTTTCATCCTACGAAAGGAACAATTTTGACTGATATTTTTTAACAAAATATCGAGGCAAATTTTGTTTTGTTCACATTTTCTTTTATCGAAATTATCATTAACATATTTTGGCTTAACAATGGATATTTGAGGGCTTTGAAGCCAATATGTGGTTTTTATCCATTGAGAAAGCTAAGGTAATTACAATATCGCTTTTGTCCTCCATTATTCATCTATCTTAGCGTTTGTCTTCTCTTACAATAAAACATTTTTTTTCTTTGTTTGGTTTATTTTAGGCCCTAAATAAAAATCAAGTTGAGTTGGTTGGGACGATGAGTGCATTCGGAGAAATTGACTTTTTACATTTGGTTTACTTTCATGACTGATATTTTTAAGTACAAAATCAATTTCTCTGAATGCACTCGTCGTCTCAACCAATTCAACTTGATTTTTATTTAGGGCCTGAAATAAAAAAAAAAAGGGTTTTCTTCCAAGAGAAGACAATCAGTAAAATAGATGAATGATGGAGGACAAAAGAGATATTGTAATTTCCTTAAATATCATTTTTCAACAAAATGTGAACAAAACAAGATTCACCTCGATATTTTGTTCAAGAATATCAGTCAATTATTACCCTTCATAGGATGAAAAAGCAACCGGGTGGATCTAATGCTTCTTAGATGGAGAAACTAAGGACAACATAAGAGTTATTATAGCCGATAACCTAGATAGATGCGTAGGTAATAATTGGCAAGATAAATTGTAACACCCCGGTCCCGAAATATTTTTTTTGAAATAAAATGAATATTTCGGGGCCGGCGTGTTACATAAATCCTCACTGAGCATTTTCCTTCCAAGATAAATTCTTGCCGGTTATTACCCACTTATCTATCTATCTAGGTTATCGGCTATAATAGCTCTTATGTTTAGTTTCTCCATTTAAGAAGCATCAGATCCACCCGGTTGATTTTTCATCCTATGAAGGGTAACAATTGACTGATATTCTTGAACAAAATATCGAGGTGAATCTTGTTTTGTTCACATTTTCTTTTATCGATTATCATTAACATGAGACATTTATTAACTCTAAGGAACTAACTGAAGGGGCCATCTGATTTAACGTTCATAGTGAACCTTATCACTTGTGGTTGTATATTAAATATCTTTAAGAACCAATTGGTCTTGGTTTGTGAGCCAGGACTGAACTCACAAAAAGATGATTCGTAGTAATATTGATAAATTTTCGGTAGAAGGACTAGAATTTTCTCTTCTTTTTTTTCTCTTAAAGATAAAGCGACAAAGACTTCATTTGAATGCTTCTTTCCGAAAAAGGATCATCGCTGGATCGGATTCGAAAGATCTTGTAATCGTATCCGTTTATCGTACATAACCCTACCCTCGCTCTCTCCCCATTGCGATTTGTTTGTCTTTGTCTCCCCCTCTTTCCCTCTCTATCTCAGAGGCGACATAGCCTGCCTCCCCAAAACCCTCATGGAACGATAACGAAGCCAAACCTACTCCCAATTTGCTCAAAACGTAGAGGACAAAATTTTCCTTCCCAAAACATCATCCCCACCGTTGATTTTAATCTTTGATGGGCAGAACTGTCATTAAACGATTGTGGGCCGGACTGAGGGCCAGACTTTTGCCGAAAACCAAACAAAGTTCATGAAAAAAATGGGGGTAGCCCAAACCCCAACACAACCACATGTTTGGTGGCAGTAGTGTAAATAAGGCAAAATCAAGGGACAAAAACTTGACCTCAATTATAAAATAGATAATGTGAGCATAGTTTTTACGAATTTAATGTGAGTGGTTTTGTGAGAATTGTGTGGAAATGTATAGATTTTAGGTTTATAATTAAGGGAGTTTTAACGAAACACTCCTGGTACAGTTTATTTTTAATGAAAATGATATTTTTACTCTAAAAAGTCACTCATAGTATTATTCACTTACAACATATTTTTGTCCTTTTAATTAAAACTCAAGTTTTCAAACAATTTTAATTAGTTTTCCTATAATTAAAAGGGGGTTAATCAAGCATCTTATTTCTAATCACATTCCTAAATAGTTATTTTTTGGTCTTATTTCATTATTTAGGTATATGAGTTGAGATCTTACATAAGAAGGATCGAGTCGAGAAAAATGATATGTATTGTCACGTGCTGGTTAACACATGAGAATGATGAAAGCCATTTATTATTTAAATTTAAAAGTCTTATTTATTTCTTACGGACATCAAGATCAGGACATGTCACGACGTGTTTTGATCCATGACTTGTTTTCTCAAGTGGTTTGGGGAAAACACGACACCACGTCGTTTTGCTCCATGCCCTTCGCATATATGTTCAACTGTGGCTAGATTAAGCTCGTAATGATTGACTTCAACACGAAAAATGCATAAACATCGCCAAAGAACTGAACTAGAGACTTGAATTTGGATAAAAATAAAATTTTATT